CCGGCGGCGGGCGGTCTGTTCGGTGCCAAGCCCGCAGCCCCCGCTCCCGCCACCGGTGGCCTCTTTGGGGCTCCCGCCCCAGCTCCCGCATTCGGGGCCCCCGCGCCTTCGACCGGGGGCCTCTTYGGGGCTCCCGCCCCGGCGCCCTCGGCCTTTGGCCAGCCGGCGGCGGCTCCCGCATCGAACCTCGCCGGGTACATGCCCTACTCGTCCCTGCCGCAGGACCAGAAAAACAACATCGATACCGTCTACCAGGCCATCATGAATCACAAGCGAACCATCCTGGCAGTTTCCAGCATGGCTCCAAGGTTGCTGAACACCTCGACCGAGCCAGCCGATGTGGCCGGGGGAGGAGAGGAAGTTCCGCTGTCGATTACCGTGAAGAGGCTCACGGGAAACGCGCAACAACTGGAACAGGAACTCAGAAGCCTCTGGGGCAGCATGATGCACACGAAGCAAATGTACGAAACGAGTACCACCCAGGCCATTCGCGATGCAAAATGGCCTACCGAATTCGTTGCCACGAGGGTCGGGGCCACTCTCACCGGCAAYAGCCAGCAGAAAAGCAGCAACGAACGCGGTGCCCAGGCAGCGGCATCCGCGTCGTCGACGAAGGATGACACGAAGAAAGCCGAAGACTTCAAYCGTCGTCTCAAGGAGCTCCTGGATCGCGAGATGGTTCACGCGGATCAGATCTACCGCATGCCATCCTCCTATCTGTGGCAGTGTGTCGAAGAAATGGAGGGACGAGCTCGGCAGTTGCAGGGCCAGCTGCAATCACTGCAGGAAACCCTCGAGATATCGAATCAAGTATCGAGCGAACAATTCGACGTTGTTGGAGTCATCCAGCTGCAAGAACAGACGATCTGGAAGGTAGCGGCCGATCTCACAGAAGTTCACAACAAGGTCGACGAACTTCGGCATCTCTACAATCTCCACGAAAAGGGAATCAATGTGTTGGAAGAAGCTCGCCAGGAAGAAATCCGACACCAGCAACAAGTGAACCAACAAATGAGAACGCTCATGGTCAAGACCCTTCCTACTACGGCTCCTGCTGCGGGTGGACCGGCACCAGCTGCTTCTGGGGGATTGTTTGGCAGCACAACGCCGACCGCATCCGCCGGTGGCGGTTTGTTCGGAAAGTCTCCGGCTCCCGCATCCGGCGGACTTTTCGGAGCTCCGGCTCCATCCACCGGTGGGTTGTTTGGATCGGCACCCGCTCCCGCGCCCGGTGGGTTGTTCGGAAAGTCCCCGGCACCCGCACCCGGCGGACTTTTCGGAGCTCCTGCTCCGGCACCCGCCTTTGGAGCTGCTCCCGCTCCCGCTCCCGGTGGATTGTTCGGATCCTCTACTCCCGCCCCGGCTCCCGCAGCCGGTGGCTTGTTTGGATCTACCACCCCCGCACCCGCTCCCGCAGCCGGTGGCTTGTTCGGATCGACTCCCGCTCCGGCACCCGCCTTTGGAGCCCCCGCACCGGCAGCCGGGGGGCTCTTTGGCGCTCCGGCACCCGCTGCACCCGCCTTCGGAGCCCCCGCTCCCGCGGCCGGGGGACTCTTTGGAAGCGCACCGGCATCGGCCACGACGCCCAAATCGAAATCGAGGTCCCGCGGCAGCTCGCGCAGGCGATAGAGACAACRCACGAGACGGGCTCGCCCCAACGCGGGCGGTGGCGCTTCACCGGTGGACGCGATGCGAATGTTTGGAAGGAATCGTGCTTCGTACAGCGATCCGAGTTTTTGTTCGTGGAGCTGTCACTTGTAGCAAATACAATTTCAGCGCCTCATAAACAACGATTAAGAATCAATCTTTTCTACCTTGATGATTCGAATCAAATTATCCCTTGATTTTATAAAAATTTATGAATTATGCGTAGGGGGCACACTAATTGTTGGCATTACTGTCGAAAGAGTTCTTCCTGCAGTCGTTTTGGTTTGGCGGGCGAGGCAGCTGCTGGCATCGCCCTGCAAGAGTCCTGGCCCCGGCACGGGACTGCTCCGAAAGCATTCTTTCATGCCCAGTCGTCGTGTTCCTTGCGGAACAGTTGTTCTTCTTGGATAGTATTCTTTGTGTAGCGCCACTCGAAAAAGAAACGATGGTGCCGTTTATTATTCAGATCGGATTGTGCATCGTCGTCGTTATCGTCGTCGTTATCTTCGCTGTCATTGATGTTATTATCTTATCGTCATATTACTGATCCCATCGATCTCCAGGTGCTCCTCTGATTTCGTTCTGATCTTTCTCGCTCTTTGCTCTCTATCCTCCGTAATCTTTTGTATCTCCTTGTATCTTTCCATATTTCCACACGGTCCCTCAGCGTAAAATTGTAGTTGCAGTCGTAGTCATCGAGGAGRCATTCCCAGCAYGGTGTGCAGGTACACAAATACTCGAATAGATCACGGACGCGTGTATCCTTCGTCTTCTTTTTGTTTCCAAACATTATATATTTGTGTGGTCTCTCCGACAGTTTGTCCTGGTAAGCAATTTGAAAGAACAATGTAACTACCTCGACTTCGCCTCTGTGGCACTTGCGGGATAAGACGCGGCAATGGGGTGTGGCTGGATTGAACCTTATTCGATTTTGGTGTTGTAGTTGTGGTTGTAGGTGTAGTTGCGTTTCTGTCGAGGCAATCGGCGTTGCTTCGATTACGGTACCGTACTCGTTCTCTCATCGAAGTTGAGCAATCGCAGAAAAAGAACTCTCATCTATTTCGGCCATTTCGTGAGGAGGGGAGCGTTGAGTCACAACGAAAAACATGCCATCTGGTCTGGCCCTCCTCATTTTTCATCGGGGCCCTCGATCCGTGCGCGTTGTATTCATGTGGTTATTGCTGCAGTATGGTACGGTGAGATTAGGTCTCTGGTGTTACTGTACTGTACTACCAAATTGCTATCATTACGTACTTCGCCCGCAAGAGCACGTGCCTTAGAACCATGAGTAAATTCGTTGAAAATTGAAATCATATATGCCGAGGTGCAAAATAATAAGACTAGGAATATGTGTACGGTAGGGAATTATGATGCTTAGTAACAAATCTACGAGTACGTACGACGTACTGGCAGGACGACAACTAATCGGTGAAAACTCTCCAAAAGGCCCTCCCTCCTCTCATGTTAGTACTATATGATGTTTCGTATGTACTACTACGTAGGTACGAACCGCTTAATCGGAAGAAAAGATGAGCACTCTTAACATACGTAGTACGTACCGGTACCACACGCACTAGTACAGTACTCGCACTTGTACTCGTAGTAACCCGTTCTATTTTTACTGTTTACCGTACGTACCGTACGAACCGTAGTACGGTACCCCTACCTCTTGCCAAATACTCTGTGCTTGGATCCTGGGTCATCAGAATATTCCAGGAATAATACCGTTCGTATCGTACGGTACAGTAATGTACGGTACGAGTAATCAAAGATACAACAATCACCGTCGTGATCGTACCCACTCTACTCACTTCGTTTAGAACGGCAATGAAACAAAAAGAGATGGAGCAACAAAATACCGACCAACCAACCCTAAAGCTCTATTATTTTCCTATAAAGGGCAAGGGCGAAGCCATTCGACTTATTTGCGCCTATTCTGGCTTGAAGCTAGAAGATTATCGTTTCAGCAGCAGGGATGAATTTACCGCCATGAAGGAGAGCAGTAAGCTTCCGTTCGGGCAGGTTCCAATGCTAGAAATCGACGGCAAACATGCAATGGTCCAATCTGGCTCAATCATGCGGTATCTCGGGAAACTTTCGGGCCTCTACCCGATGACCGACCATGTTTTGGCTCAAACTATCGATTCTATCATGGATCAGGCGGCCGACGTTTTTCTGGGATCGACTGTCCTAACCTATGGCTTGCGATTCGGCGTKGATTTGACCCCKGAAGCAACAGCAAAATCGTACGAACACTTCAACCAAACCGTACTACCCGGCCATTTGAAAAGGGTAGAAAGATTTTTCGACACCAGTACAACTGGTTGGATTGCCGGAACGGAAGAGCCATCACCCGCAGATTTTGTCTGGTATTGTAGCTTGATCAACATGGCTGCGAAGAAGGAAATTTCGGAGGCAAACAAAAGCTTGTCGGAATTCCCAAAACTGAAAGCGTTTATCGAAAAATTTGAGTCTTTGGATGCTATCAAGCAGTACTACAACGGAAAAGAGTAGGAAGTACCGTTGGCAGCTACCACTCTGTGTCTCCTGAAGTTAAGAGAGTCTGCGGCGTTATCAGAAAGCCAACACTGCTCGCAACAGTTGTTTCTAGGGAATTCTTTGCTATGGCATAAACAAATAAAACAGGGTGACGATCAAACCATCTCGCTAGGTCTATTGAACAATCTGGAAAAGAACTACAAGTATTATTTTAGTACTACTAGCTCCATATCCATAATCTCCCTCAGACCTCCAGTAACATATCCATTCGCTTTGGGCACTGATGGTAGGTGAGCGAGCCGTCTCGCGGAAGCCAGGGATTTGGTGTCAGAACGTTCCAGTAAACAACTACTTCGTACTGTGCTTCTATTATAATTAGGTAGTATTTGATGAGTTGAGATCGGCTGTTTTGATCGTGGTAATTGCTTCTCAGGCAGTTTTTGTTTTTAATTTTTGGTGGGGAGAAGTGATTCCGAATACGTATGTACCTTAGTGACTAGTGACCCCATTCGGAACGAACGGCAACAACACATAGCAACACTCGACCGTTTTGAACTGTAAGAACTGCGAGGTCGCAAATCTTGAAAATATTCTGCGGGACTCAACGTAGAATACAGTAATAATCCTACGCGAAGTTGCGCAAGCCATCCCGGCGTATGGTCTGTACTGAAGCAGGCCCTGCAGAATGATCTCAAAATGCTCTTTTTTACATTAAAAAAACTTTGCAAATAACAACTGCCTTTTCATGTGTATCGGGAGACTGAAAACACACGACCAACCTGTCGACAATAACAAAAGGGAAACAAAAACAACAGCGATCCACTCATAAAAACAAGAACTGCCCTCTAGTTCGAATAGATTGCTCGGCGAGAGTTCCTCGTTCAAAATTCAAGACACCACCCATACCGTTTCCCCAACAAGTCATACAGCAGAGCACCCCGATGACAGACAACGTAGCAGAGCTTGCGGAAGCAACCAAAAAGATGTCGCCAGACAGGTCAGGGTCAGCAAGTGAGAACGGAGATGAAACAACATCCACAAAGGACACGACGGATACCGATAGCGATTATGTAGTGGAAACAGCAACCTCGTCCGATGAAACTAAGAGTGGCGACAACGACGATGGTGACGATGTCAAAAGTGAAGCCGAAGACGACACGAGGACGCAAGAAGAAAAAGACGAGGAAGCCAAGGAAAAGGAAGAGAAAGAGAAACAAMGAATCAAGGAGTTAGAAATAAAATACAAAGATTGGCCACTTCACGATATCAAGGAACCGCACGATCACGACGTCATGTACGGAAGGGGGGGAGGAACCAATCACCACCCCGGAAACAAACGGTATCGAAAGATGGTCGAGGATCGCAAGGTCAAATACGTAAATAGCAAACGTCTCGACAAGCCTCTTGTGGCATTAGAAATAATMAAAGAGTGGAGGGCGCAATGGCCCCCCGGACGGTTTCTGAAGCAGGACGAGGCAACGGGGCTTTGGAACGACGTGGGCGAAAAGAAGGCGAGGGAAAAAACGAGCCAGGCGTTGAGAGAAAAGGCACCCCAGATCCGAAAACAGCAAGAAGAAGAGAAAAACGAGGTACGCAGAAACAGAATATGATTTATTTGTTTGAAGATTCTGCCCATGTGCAATGAATAATACATTCATCGCTGTTTTTGTTTCCGCACATTTATAGGAATCTGCTTCCAACGGCGATGCGAATGCCGAAGGGACGGCGGCAAAAGGAAACAAAAAAGGTAAAGTGAAGAGACCAGATATTGTACGCAGAGATCACACTTTCGGAAGAGAGTATTTGGGTAAGGGCGAGAGCTTGGATATAGAAGGTTTCACTTGGGTCAAAGACAGCGGAGGGAGAGATATGTCTATCGGATCGCTAGGTTCTCTACCAGGCATCGTTCTTCCTCCTGGAAGGAGTTCGAGCAGAGGAAGCATCGGGCCACCGTTCGCGCAGCAACCACCTCCGGATTACCACGGAAGAGTGGCTTCCGGGGAGCCGAGACGAGAGTTCTCTACCAGTAGCATTCAGAGCTGGGGTTCTTCGTCTTTTCAACAGTTTCCAGGCGCACCACCGCCACCACCACCAGGCGGTTTGATGCATCAGAGGTCCGGGAGCTTTACGTTCCCCGTTCCGCCTTCTCCCCGAGGTGCCCGCCATCAACGATCGGGGAGCTGGAACGCGGGAGGATCTGGACGCGAGCATTCATTTTCTCTTAATCCACTGCCCGGAGCAATTGTCAACCGCCCAGCTCCTTCAGCTACCTTCGATTCAAGAGGGTCTGGTTTCTGGAATCAACCTCCGCCGCCGCCACCACTTGTAACTCACCCTGGGTTTGGGTATCAGCAGAGTGGCGATTCAATGGGAACTATGGGAGGACATTATCGGCAGGTTCCATCACCCGCCAACAGCAATACATCTAGTCCACCTTTCAACACAATGAATATCAACAGGAGCTGGTCAGATGGAGGAGGACCACCTCCACCAAGAGATTTTGGGCATCCAAATTACAATCCATATCCACCACAATACGATCCGCAAGCATAYACCGGTGCGGATACGAGTCCATCACGAGGACAACAATCAAATCATAACGATGCACTCCCTCGTCCGGGAATGGTGAAAAGAGACACTTCCAATCAAAATGAAACCTTCGAATCAAAACCTCATAAATTAAAACGAGCAACCTTGAGCCGGGACCAAAGTGCAACCTCAAACCGGCTGAAACAACAGTATGCCCCTGAAGTTTTTAACCGAGACATGCAAGCAATACAAAAAACCACCGAAGATATTCGTTTGGGAAGCCCTGTGCCTGAAGCAGCTAACCTAGAACCATTATCTATGGATGGTCGAACGACATCAATTGATTTTTTGGAACCCGGGGATCTAAAGCCACAACATCTAACGAGAGGAGCTCGTGAAACCAGTTTGGGCGTTTTTGGATTCAATGATCTCATTGGTGATTCTTCAAATCCGTTAAACAATAGCAATGATGTTGACACTGACAAGAAACCGCCATCGAAACCAGCGCCTCTTCAGGAGGCTTCTCGCGCAAATAGTTTGTACGAGTTGGGATTCGACGATCTGATTGACGATCGATGATAAAAAGTACTCTTCTTAGAATCTCCATGTTTGACGAAAGAGAGGCAGCAAAAAAATCAATTAGTGGGGGGCTCAATGTTAAATGATTCGATTGATCATAGAAGAAGAATCGAAGAGAATAGAGTGAAAAATAGAGTGAATCGTTATTGAATTAAACATCCTAAATTTACATCGTTTTCTTCATCCTGATCCAATGCAATCCCTTCTTCAGAGAGGCAGGCAGTTGAGAYACTTGGGAAATCATTGTATGTACGTGACACCGTCGTCGGGTGATCCTCTGGCTTGTAAATCGTTGAATGCTTTTTTGCTATTTCTTGGAGATCATTGGAAGAAACGAAATGAGAATTCTTCAAGGATCCCTTTGATATTTTGCTTTGTTCGTGTTTGTCATTGCTACCAGGGCATTCGCCTCTCTCCTCGGCATTATCGTCCTTTTGATCACCGTTTTCTTCCAAGCGCATCATGTCTAAATCGTCGGCGTTGCTACTTCCGAACGATACTCGCGAAGACATTTCTTTCGTGGGCAGGTCATCGGTACCAGTGCTCCCAAGTGAGATTCCAGACGATAGACGACTTACATGGGTATCCGTTTCGGATTCGTTTCCATTTTTACGAATCACTATTCTATTGGCATCAGMCATTGCGTCGGATTTGCTTCCATATTTGAGTTTTTCCTTTTTATCGGAAAAAGGGAGTGAATTAATTGAGTCGCCCGATGCCTGCCGACTGTAAAATACAACATGATTGCTGTGCTTGTTAGTTGAGATGCTGTTTCCGTTATTAGGGTCGCTGATCGTAGCACTCATATTGATGTTATTCTTCGAGGCGGTACTTTGTTCGTCTCCTGAATTATTGGTTGATGCCAACGAAGGGATACGTGCTCTCAGGTTCTCTCGAGTGTGCGCCAGTCCTTCTTGTATTTTCTTGCTAGCAGWCCGCATGATTTGACCSGGAACACTTGTGACAGTTCGAAAGGCCATCCGTATGTCCTCTTCGCTAATWTGAATAACGCTCAACGAACTTTCGAATTCAGGACCGAGTTCCCGGATRCGTTGTTCTCGCGCTTTTTCCAAGAAAGCATGGTGGAGACAATCTCCAACTCCCGCCCGTAGGTTAGGATCCTTTTCCAAACAACACTTCAACAAGTCTACCAAAGAAT